AATTTCATGACTAAAAAAAGTCCACTTACTACCCAGTTCTAAAAGAAAAAACAAAGATGTGAGGCAGAATATGAATCTGTAGCCTAGCCAGCACGGGCTATAGATCTATTAATTTACTTCCATTCCACTACAGCTCTATAGCACCATCCTCTGACCAATCCACCTGTTTTTCTACCTTCCTATTTACTTTCAAGACTGTAGCTGGTATGGAGTTAAAAGAACTAAGACAGTGGTTCTTAACAGTCACTGAATTAAAAAGAAATCACCTGTGGAACTTTAAAAATGAAACACAGGCCCTACACCTAGAGTAAATCTAATTGATTTGGGGTAGGTCAGTGTTCTTAAATAAACTGCATTGAAACTACCTGGAGGGCTTATTAGAATAGATTATTGGGCCAGATGTGGTGACTCATGCCTGTAATCCTAGCACTTTGGGAGGCCAAGGCAGGTAGATCACCTGAGTCAGGAGTTCAAGACCAGCATGGCCAACATGGTGAAACTCCATCTCTATAAAAATATAAAAATTAACCGGTGTGGTGGCAAGTGCCTGTAATACCAGCTACTTGGGAGACTGAGGTTGGAGAATTGCTTGAACCCAGGAGACGAAGTTTGCAGTGAGCCAAAATTGTGCCACTGCACTCCAGCCTGGGCACTAAGGTGAGACTCTGTCTCAATAAAAACAGATTAGATAGATAGGCAGACAGATAGACAGACAGATAGATAGATAATTGGGCTCTACCCTGGCAGTTCCTGATTTTGTGGGACTGGGATGGTACGCAACTATTTGTATTTGAATTTTCTAGCAGGTCCCCAGGTGACAGTGTTGCTGCTGGTCTGTGGACCAGACTTGAGAACTACTTGGGAAGTTTTTAGTTCTTTTAGTTCAGGTAATTTTTAGTTCTTCAGGATAATAATGGTCAGCCAGTTGAAAATCTTTGGTTGCAAACAGTAATTCTCCATCTTCTCTGGAGAATCACTTGGGGAATTAAAAACAACTGATGCCTGGGTACTTGTAAGGGGTTCTTTTTAAATTGATCTTGGGTGTAGCCTGGGCCTTAAGATTTTAAAGAGCAACATATTATTTAAAAGAATCATATCCCAAGTGATTCTAATGTCCAGCCAGGGGTGAGTATCACTGAAAATTTTCTGCCTCCTCAATTCTTATTACCATTTACCTCAAATTTCCCCAAGAGAATCAGATACTTTGACCACTACAATATATTAAAAATTTCTTTCTAACTTGCTGTCTATGAACAATGGTTCCTTTCCACTTTGATTTTTTTCTTTGTTTCTTTGATGTTTTAATAATAGTTAATATTTACTGAATACCTGGGATGTAGAAGGCTTGGTGCCGAGTCTTTACCTCTTTACCAGGTTTTTTGGGTTGTTTTTGGTTATTGAACAGTTATAATTTAAATCTTTTCTCAGAAAGAGACCCTGCATTTTTTAGAATCAACTTTGTCTTATAACTTGTGGTTAATAGATCACATTTTATTCTGTTTCTACTGATTAGAAACCAGACAGGGAGAGAGGAGGGGGAAGGAGAGAGGGAGAAAGAGAGGGAGAAACATATAGAAAACAAATTCTTCTGATCTGCTTCAACACATTTTGCTTAATATTTGAGTCTCTGTGAATCTTCATGGAGGTTCTCCAGAAATGGACAAAGATTCAGTATTTCCATGAGGAAAATTCCACGAATACCTATGACTCCATCCAAAGGCAGCTGATTTTCCTTTTGCTCTTGATTAATGCATTTCTTCCATTTCCAGCTAAAAAAAGCCCACTGATTTTCCCCCCAAAAGATACTTCCTTTGGAACATACCAAAAATACCATTAAGAACAATGATATGAGTTGTTTCAGGTGAAGGGTTTTGCGTTAAGAAGATTTTTAAATATAGATTCAATTGTTTCTACGGCAGCTTTGGTCAAGGCTTCTTGGCAGGGCTCTATGGCGTACTTCCCACAAGATGGCACTGTTGTATGCGGCTGGAGAGCCCTCAGCCTCATCTTCACAGCTACCGCCAAGAACGCATCCGTACAGCTTTAGGTCTTGAAATGCCCTTTGTTTCTAGCTTCAGGAGATCTGAGAGCCATCAGGAGTATATCTTTAACATTTAGGTCTATGGCTTAGCAAGGTGTCTAATCAGCGATACTTAATAAATGTCTACTAGATGAAAGGATTAATGAATGATACATGTGTATCAATTTCACATTAGCCAACACCAGAGGAAGGGGACTGAGGCTGGAACAACTCCAAGAGGGAAGGAATTGAGGGCCACTGCACTATCTCCCTTTGTGATGAAAGAGTTCTTCGGGACTCCATTGTTCTTTTCCTGACTTTCTGACAGGCTTTGACAAGAACACGATTCACCCTAATAAGGCCTGATGGCCCATCTGCTTACCCAGCCATTTTCCTCCTTAAAATGGGCAAAGCAACTATTCTGACACAAAATTAGTTACAGCAAAAAACATGTGGGGAGTGTCCATTAATAAAAGGTAGACCATACAAATAATATATGTTGCCAGAGAAAGAAATTCTCGGGCAGTCTTTCAGGTCTGATAAGCCCACTGTGGAAAAGGACTTTGTGGGGAAACGTGGTGGGTGAGAAAGCTCCACCGTGAGGTCAGAGGGTGGTGTTCAACCTGAGCTAACGGCCTCCCCCAGGTCACTTTCCCTCCCTGTGCTTCAGTTTCCTCCCCTTCAGATGTCGGGGGAGGGGTACCAGCTGATCGCCAGGGACCCTTCTAGGTCTGACACAGTCTTCTATCTTTTCTTCACATTATGGCTTAAACAATCATTGTGTAAATAACTAAGGGCCAGCCAGAGAATTCTACATGTTTGGTTTGAGGGAAAGAAATAATTGATTTCAAACAATTGTAAAATGCCAGGTTTTCTGCTTTGTTTGTTTTGGTATCAAATATAAATATCCCTCTGTATTAGCTGTTGCTCCTGTTTTCCCATAGCACTGATTTTCTGAAGCAATATAGGCTTACAGTATATTATTCTTTAAAATGTTGTGTGAAGCCAGTTTGGAGTTTTTAGGCACCGAACTTGAATGGTCAAGTTATGAAGCTTAGTTTGTAAAGTTAATAAGTTTTCCAGGAGCCTGTTTCACATTATAAGACTACTATGAAACCACCAAAGTTGATCTAATCTAGTCACCTGTCTTGGGTGATTAGCAAGCATCATTATGAGTAGGTTGATACCAACTAGCCACTTTAATTGACATAATTGAAAAAGACTGGCTCAGTTGGAGCCAAGTCTTTGGGTTGCAAAGACTTTTACCCTATAAAGTCATTAGGAATTAACTTTGTGACTCTTGAATGAGAAGCAATGATTCAGAAATTATAAAAACAGGCCATAAATCAAAATTAGTATCTGTTAAACAACTAACTTCATTCCAAGATGAGCTTTGGTTATTTGCCCATAAAACTTAATACGCTATCCACACTTGCTAATAATCATAAAAGATTTTTGAAAATTTCATTTCATTACAAAGGGATTATTTATCTATGCCTTATCCCCCCAAAATAATATCCCAACACTGAAGCAAAAGGAATCAGTTACCTATCTACCTAATGGTGACCAACAACAGAAATTTAGCGCTTTCAAGAGCTGGGCCATTTTTATCCTTATTTGAAACAACTAAAGTAAAGCTTCGGCTGTCAGAAGGAGCAATCTGCTGCTAGGGTCTGCCCAAATTCCAAGCACCTGCTTTCTCTGATCTGGAGGCAGATGGTACATCGTAAAAATAAAACACAGGGGGAATGTACAGAAAGATATTCCCTTTAAAACCATTTACGAGATTCTTTTTCCTAAAATCTCATACTATAAATATACATGTTTTATGTTAATATTATAGCTCAGAATTTGGGAACATAGGGTCATAAGAAAAGTTTTCTTGGCCTGATTGAGTCATATACATGTATTCACATATTTCCACAGGATGAAAAATCAGTCTGTAGCTTATAACCACCTAGGCAGGACATTTTATTTTTGGAATTCTAATAAATATCCTAAACAGTAGCAGCTGCTGCCCTTATTATTCAATACTACCACTCACTGCAGCTCTATTAAGTTTCTTCATTACAACTCTTAGGCACTGCTCAATGGGGTAACCTCATTTATATTTGTAGGACTTGGATAGATGAGCTTGGCTGTAATAAATTGGCCTCAGGATAGGCTTTTCCACTATAATTATTTAGAGTAATGCTTCTCAAACCTTACAGGCATCAGAATCCCCTGCAGGGTTTGTTAAAACAGATTTGTTGGCCTGACTCCCAGAGATTCTGATTTAGTAGTTCTAGGGTGGGACCTGAGAATTAGCATTTCTAACAAGTTCCCAATGAGGCTGATGCTGTTAGTCTGAAGGCTACATTTTAAGAACCACTGATGTAGGGGTTCCCTTTGGAGTGTCTTATCAGTTATGTTTCTTTGGGCTTGTATTAGCTTCTCAGTTAATACCCATTTTATGCTGAACACATTTGAAACGTGTTATTTGTTTATATTCAGATGTTGCAGTTACACACAAAGATGCTTGACAAGTAGATGGACAGATCTGCTGAAGCAAGGCTGTTCCACGCTGTGAGTATCTGGGAGAATCAATGAATGCAGTATGTTTGATCAGTTTATGTGCAACTTCCCAAGTCACTGGGAGTTACCAGAACATACACAACACGATGCACTTCCGACATAAATGTCTACTAGAATCTGACAGATAATCATCTTATCCTTACTAATTTTTATCTTAGAATTTAGATTTAGCCCTTAAAGATGCTGGATTCTGCTATCTTAAATCTGCAAGCACATTCCCAATAGCTCGTGCTAAGCAAATATTGACAAAAGAGTAATATGAAGCAATTGAGCAATGCTTAGCATTTATGTTCACCTCGTTTCTCTTATAACCCACGTATGGTTAAATTTTAAAGCATGGTTCTGTCACAAAATAGCATCATGGTGTTAAGATTTACTTCAAATGCACTTTGGAATGTAAACATACCTTATTTAACTTCACAAAATATTCCAGTCCAGCTTCCAAAGGATTTGTATCACAGTTCATCTAAAAAGGAAACATACATTTTAAATGTTAGATGAGTGCAAATCATTTCAGTAACATCACTTTCCTATTTGTTTTTAGGAGAAATAACACTTTTTGATTTTTCAACACAGATTCTAAAGAAAGGCAAACTAGGCCGGGCGCGATGGCTTACGCCTGTAATCCCAGCACTTTGGGAGGCCAACGCGGGTGGATCACAAGGTCAGGAGATCAAGACCATCCTGGCCAACATGGTGAAACCCCACCTCTACTAAAAATACAAAAATTAGCTGGGTGTGGTGGCGCATGCCTGTAATCCCAGCTACTTGGGAGGATGAAGCAGCAGAATTGCTTGAACCAGGGAGTCAGAGGTTGCAGTGAGCTGAGATTCGCACCACTGCACTCCAGCCAACCTGGCAACAGAGCAATACTCGGTCTCAAAACAAAAAAGAAAGGCAAACTGTAGACTGGTTTTGAAAACAATTTTTTAATCCAAAATTCAATGTAGCCTTTCAGCAAAAAATGTCATTTGAGTATAACAAATACAAAAACTAAAATTCACTGTGTTCCATAGCTCTCTCATTTTAATAAACATCTGAGGGAATGCACGTGATGTTCCCTCTAGAAACAAGATTTTCACATGTATTTATGCAATCATTTTACATAACTACGTTTTGAAAAGTTATTAAGCAATTTAGTTATGTCACAGCCAAGAATCAGGATAAGGTGGAGGGAAAGCAGATGGTGGGAAAGTAGCTGATGGAGTTCAGGAGAGAAAAAAGGAATAAGCAGAGTTTGAATCTCTCTCTCTCCAAATGTGAGCAAGCCACTGTGATATCTACCAAATCAGGGCTGTTTTGTTGTTCTCTTTGCAGTGAGAGAACTAGTCTAAACCCCCTAAAAGTAGCGAAACTTTTAAAGCAACACAGCACCTACGTAAACCAATTGAATGTGCGCTTGTTTTACATGACATAAGCATTGCCTCATATTTCTTAATTAATTTGAGCTACTCTAAAATTATTTTATCTGTTCAAAATTTCAGAATTTCTTCAAAGAAAAAAATAAAAATAAAAATGAAGCACAGAGGATCACAGTATCAACACTAGAGGGCGCTCTGGCACTGCTGGGAAGTCGAAGGGATGGAAGAAGGAGAAAAGCTTTCCAGAAGAGGTCGCAGGGAGAGGAAATCTGAGAAATTAAAAGGCAGGAGGATGGAGAAATGTTTGACTCCCAAAGAGCTGCTCCTGCTGCTTCATTCCTTGGAGAGTGCAGGGACCGCGCTGTCCTCTGCTTCTGTTCCTGAGCCTAGCCTTGCCTCAGTCCCCAGTTGTAGCTGGAGAATCCCTTAATAAGGGACCTCTCGCGGAGACCTTCCCCACTTGCCTCTGTGTACTCTAAATGCCCCTGGGTCCCTGCCTAGGCTTTCAAACATACTCTGCCCTCCAATCAAATGCATTTAATTATGTACTTGGCACTTCCTAGACTCTTTCTATGATAATTCTGTTGCATAAAAATTCCATTTTTTAGAAAAGCAAACGGAAGATCTGGAGGGTTAGGCCAGATAGCTGGTGCGTAGTGGAGGAAAAATTCACACCCAAGAGTCCCCGCTCTGAGTCCATCTTTTACCACTATCCTTTATTTCATCTTTGAGGCCTAAAACCTCAGTGTCTTCCAAAGAAACAATTAGTGAATCTGAAATAGTGAATGGGTCCAGAGAACAGCCTGCCATACTGGAAATAAAGTTAGGAGAACAGAGTTTGAACCACAGGTTGGCCACTTACTAGATAATCTGGACCAAGTGGTTCTCTAAATCTCAGTGCTACTATGTGCAAAATAGAGGTAATGGAGAGTTGAGAAGGAAACTGAAATCATGCATGTGAAAATATGTAAATGGTTAAAGCACTATACAAATAGAAAGTCTTGGTAACCATTATTAATGGTGGAGGAAGGCTGGACCACCACATCCTGGACTATCACCCCTGCCCCTCAGAAACGAGTGTTAACTCACCAAAAGTTACAAGATAAGAAGAAAATGAAGACAGGCAAAATGACAGAGGTGGAGAGACTTTGAAAAGTGTTACTCTAATCCCATGAGGTAGGCCAGCTCCCCACTGTCCAAGACAGATTTCTAGGGCTCTCAGCCAACTAGGATCAATTACGGCAGAATAAACGTGATGTCAGAATTCCACTGAACTTTCACTTGAGAATTTAAGGAGAAAAACCTCTTCCCCTAATTAAATAAAGTTATCTAATTATATGGAATTTCTCTTATAGCCAAAACCAATGTTACTGCAGTTAAAACCTGCCCTTATATAAAAATGAAATAAATAAACATAAAATTTTAATAAAGATGCTAGCATTTCAAACCTCGGACCCCCAGGCTCTGAAGGCTTTCTCCAGGCGTAAGGCATTCATGGCATAGGTTCCAAAATTGTCGATTCCCTCCTCCTGGCCTGCATTCATGATCATGTCATACAGCGCCACAGAGTCTTCTCTTCTGTGGTACAGCTCCCAACCCAGTTCACCTGAAATAAACCCGCAGGTGCCGCAGCACAACAAGAACAATGATCACTATATCAAATGTGCTTTAGCTAGAACACATACAAGCAGAAGAAACTGCACTTATGCAACACAGACATTGTCAGTCTCTAAAAAGACCAGTTCACAAAAAGTTACAAGAGCCCACTACGAAGAAGCCCACAATATCACAGATGCATTCGTGCCAATCCTGACACCCATGTAGATGGTGGTACACAGGACACCTCTTGTCACGACACAGAAAGACTATAATGCAGGAATTAATCTCCACCCTGGACCCCAGGTTTTTAATGAGGCTTGACTGTTTTCACACACAATGAGGTTAGGTGAATAGTTAGCATGGCAGTTTATTAAGACAAGGGATTCAACGTTTAAACCAACCCCTTGCCCAAAATCACAAGCTTAAAAATATCGTCAACTAAGAATTATTCAAGTTATCATCATAGTGAGAAAGCCATAGTGTCTGACTTCCCCTCCTTCCCACTTCTTCCCTAGTCATTCCATTCATCAATAGAGCTGTGGGGCAAAAATCAAAAGAAATGAAATGTAACCCCCAAAATCCTACTTATTTTTGTTATTCTTGTTTTGGTTTGTTTTGTCTTATTTTTTGTTGAGACAGGGTCTCACTGTGTTGCCCAGGCTGGTCCTGAACTCCTGGGCTCAATCAGTCCTCCCACTTTGGCCTCTCAAAATGCTGAGATTATAATATTATTAGAACCAGTTCTGATAATTAATTCACTTTCATTAATCCCAGAATGCTGGGATTACAGGTATGAGCCATTGGGTCCAGACCTGCTCATTTTTTATTCTGGATTTTGCCAAGGTTGGGTGGAAGAAGGGCAGAAAAAAGGTATAGCAGGAACCCAGGGAAGAGCTATGGTCTTTAATCTCTATTCTCCTGTTTCCCAAGGTGGAGGGCTCATGGTAAGGTGCTTAATGGGATGCCACAGAATAGGAGCAACATATAATTGAATGAATGTTTGGGCATGCAGTACTCCTTCTGTGAGAGACAAGGTCTAGAAAAACTTAGAAGGGAGCCCAGAGCACTACTGGGGAAGTGAAGAGCATTCGTTCACCTCTGTATCAAATATCTACCATGTGCAAGATTAGGTGCTAGATGCAGACTTCTCGGTGAGCTTAGAGTCTGGAAGGAAAGATAGATTGTTGGCAATGCTCTAGGAGAGGTGCTTGATACACTCAAAATGGTCTCTATGGGAGATTCTGTCTTTGGGAGACCATCTTGAATGTTCACAGATAGAGTTGGCTGGCCTGACTATTCCAACTATTCCAACAGCCAATCCTCTTCCTACTTTTTTTAAAATCTGCCCTTCCAGATGGTAGGCAGCTACGGGACTAGAAATCTGTGGAACCACTTTCAAGACGAGGAGTGAATAGACAAATTTGTCATAAGAGCTGAGCAGAGAAAAAAATGTTCCTCCAAAGTCGCATGGACAAAAGTGAGGGTGAGTGTGCACATGCGTACACACTCACACACACTTCAGGTGGCATGACCTTTCAAATTTAAATCTAAATTTAAAATTTAAAACTGACCTTTTAAATTTCAGAGACTCACTCCAGGTTGTTTTCCAATCTTACCAGTATAAGATATCCTAATAGCAGTGACAGGAATGTTGGAAATCTTTAAGGACTTGGTTTGAAGAAACTTGAAAACATCTTCACTAAGATCTTCAGAGGTCAGCTTCTGAAGGACCTTTCTTGCACGTGGACCAGCAACTCCAAGGACTCCAAGCTCATCGGTTATGTTTTTAATTTCAACATCATACCCACCTTTGACTGCCTCTTCTTCAATCCATCTGTGTTTCAGCCATGAACATTGTGTTAAATATTGCTCGAATAATACACTTTGGTGACAAATTACTTCTCTGAAGACATGCTTTGTGTCTAGAGTTATCAGAAAGTCCCCAGAGTGTCATTTCACGGAATCACACTGATTTTTAAAGTTGAGGAAACTGAGCCCCAGAGATGTTAAGTGATTCTCTTTAAATCGCCCACTTATAAATTTGGGGGATAATTTTTCACAGTACAGAAGGATCCTTCAATTTAATGAGCTCTGCCACCCAATTCTTTTAAATAGTGACACAGCCCTTTTGCATTTAAACTAATGATTCAGCCTTCAAAAATTGATTTAAACTCAAATTGTCTCTAATACCTGTACACAGGAGGCACAGTTATATTGCTAAAGGTTAATAATGTGCCTGCCACAAGACACGTAATTGCTCTGACAATCACAAGGAAAAGACAGAAACTCTAGTTTCAATTTCTATGTCTTGATGAGTTATTGGGACCAAGTTATAGGACTGGTTTCTAATTTATTGAGCAGTCCCTGAGCTATCTAAGCCTAACACAAAATGTTCGTCTGGATTTACACAAAGCTAAACTATTAAGATGGCCCCAGTATATCTTGGATTGGAGCATATAATTTGCATCACTTTACAACTAAGGCGAGAATCTGTCAGCGTAAGACATCTATTAAATAATAATATTCCAAATATGTTTGGAATATTAGACTAAAGACTTTATAGTAGAATAAAGATTCATGTAAAGCCTGGACTTGGCAGGTCAGCTACTTTAGATCCAGCTGTGGGCCAGGAAGCACAAAGTATCACAAGGGGCAAAGATAATTTAGGAAAGCAGCTTATGGAAGTGGACCAAATGTGCGCATCAGAATCAAAAGGCTTGTGTAAGTTACCTTAACCCAAACCTCAGTTTCCTCATCTGATAATGGGAATCATGTATACCTTGCAAAATATTAAGAGAATTCATTAAGGTAATGTCTAAAAGAGGTTCTGGCACATTGATGACGCCTGATAAATGCGAATTAATATTATTAGAATCAGTAGCTTATGGATGAGGGGCCCTCATTCTAAATATTTTTGTATTCAAAAAATAAAATTTATTTGCAACAATCAGCTTTAAGAAGAAATAAAGTTGTACTTTCAAGTACTAGTAAAAAGAAAAACTCAATGTAAGATTGAGTCAACATATAATATGTACAAAATTTTCTTACTAGGTGTGCACTTACCTAAGATCATGAAGTTCTGATCCAGAGCCAGTTATTAATAGAAACTCCCCAGGAGATTGGTGAGAAACAGTCAACTCAGCATACACTCGACCTTTGGGTGTTAACATGTGACTTATATTTGTAAAACCCACCTACATAAAAAAATTTAAAATTACCTTAGGATGAAATAAAAATTGCATGAATCCTTTTAACACCCATTTAAATAAAAATATGGGCCTTAAGAATGAAAAGTATCTGACTCTTACCATTTGTATAAAGTGTATGAATTATCTGTAAACCTAAACCCAACAGTAATTTGAAGTTCTTAAACAATTATTTAAAACTATTTGTCATTTAAAAGCTATTCTTCATTTAATTGCTGAACTCACTTTTAAGTTCCCATTGAAACAATTAAGCAAAGTCACAAGGTCCTTAGATGAGAATTCACTCAATAAAAATTTAAATTTGAAAATTAGCTTATAGGCCGGACATGGTGGCTCATGCCTGTAACCCCAGCATTTTGGGAGGCTGAGGTGGAAGGATGGCCTGAGGTTAGAAGTTTGAGACCAGCCTGGCCAAAATATAGTGAAACCCCATCTCCACTAAAAAATACAAAAATTAGCTGGGTGTGGTGGTGCACACCTGTAGTTCCAGCTACTTGGAAAGCTGAGGCAGGAGAATCACTTGCACCCAGGAAGCAGAGGTTGCAATGAGCTGAGATCGCACCACTGCCCTCCAGCCTGGGTGACAGAGCAAGACTCTGTCTCTCAAAAAA